CTTCCCTGGAGCCTCCAGAAAGAACACAAAACGGCTGGGCACGGTGGCTCATGCCTGTAATCCCAGCACTTTGGGAGGCCGAGGCAGACGGATCACGAGGTCAGGAGTTTGAGACCAGCCTGGCCAATATGGTTGAAACACCGTCTCTACTAAAAATACAAAAATTAGCTGGGCGTGGTGGTGGGCACCTGTAATCCCAGCTACTTGGGAGGCTGAGGCAGGAGAATCACTTGAACCCAGGAGGCGGAGGTTGTAGTGAGCTGAGATCACACCACTGCCCTCCAGCCTGGGCGACAGAGCCAGACTCCATCTAAAAAAAAAAAAAAAAAAAAGAACACAAGACCTGTGAGTATCATAGGTGGTCCAAGGAGCTTTACAATTGTCATGGTAATGTTACAGCAGGGCCCTGGGGACATGAGAGCTAAGGCTGGGTTATAGAGGACCCCACAGTGATGGTAGTCAGACTTCCAGGAAAAGCATAGCAGGCTCCTGAGGGACACCGTAACAGGGCATTGAGGACTCTGTCAGGGTCCAAGGAACCTTAGAATGGGGCCCAGTGAAGGCGGAGCTTGAAGTGAGCCGAGATCACGCCACTGCACTCCAGCCTGGGTGACAAAGCGAGACTCCGTCTTAAAAAAAAAAAAAAAAAAAAAAAGGGGGCCCAGGGGCTGCTGGAACAGTATCCTGAAGACATTACAGGATCCCAAGGAAACTAGAAGGGACAGCTAAGGGTAGGGCAGGTGCCTCAGGGCATTTTGGGGAAGAGCTGAGGATGCTGTAATTAGGATTCTTAAGAAGTTAAAGCAGGTTCCCTCTGTCTCTTAGGAGTGGACCTCGGCGTGGGTGTCACTGGATCTTCTAGTAGGACACAGGGAGAATCAGAAAAATGAACACATTCCAGACAAGAACAGAGACTTTTTTTGTTGTTTTGTTTTTTCTGAGACGCAGTCTCGCTCTGTCGCCCAGGCTGGAGTGCAGTGGCATGATCTCGGCTCACTGCAAGCTCCACCTCCCAGGTTCATGCCATTCTCCTGCCTCAGCCTCCCGAGTAGCTGGGACTACAGGCGCCCGCCACCATGCCCGCCTAATTTTTTTTTTTTTTTTTTTTTTGAGACGGAGTCTCGCTCTGCCGCCCAGGCTGGAGTGCAGTGGCCGGATCTCAGTTCACTGCAAGCTCTGCCTCCGGGTTTACGCCATTCTCCTGCCTCAGCCTCCCGAGTAGCTGGGACTACAGGCGCCCGCCACTCGCCCAGCTAGTTTTTTGTATTTTTTAGTAGAGACGGGTTTCACCATGTTAGCCAGGATGGTCTCGATCTCCTGACCTCGTGATCCGCCGTCTCGGCCTCCCAAAGTGCTGGGATTACAGGCTGAGCCACCCGCCCGGCCCTAATTTTTTTTGTATTTTTTTTTTTTTTTTTGAGATGGAGTCTCGCTGTGTCACCCAGGCTGGAGTGCAGTGGCCGGATCTCCGCTCACTGCAAGCTCCGCCTCCCAGGTTTACGCCATTCTCCTGCCTCAGCCTCCCGAGTAGCTGGGACTACAGGCGCCCGCCACCTCGCCCGGCTAGTTTTTGTATTTTTTAGTAGAGATGGGGTTTCACCGTGTTAGCCAGGATGGTCTTGATCTACTGACCTCGTGATCCGCCCGTCTCGGCCTCCCAAAGTGCTGGGATTATAGGCTTGAGCCACCGCGCCCGGCCTTTTTTTGTATTTTTAATAGAGATGGGGTTTCACTGTGTTACCCAGGATGGTCTCGATCTCCTGACCTCGTGATCCGCCCACCTTGGCCTCCCAAAGTGCTGGAATTACAGGCTTGAGCCACCGCACCCCACCTTAAAAAAATTTTTTTTAAATAGAGACAGGGTCTCCCTATGTTGGCCAGGTTGATCCCAAACTTCTGGACTCAAGCGATCCTCCCAACTTGGCCTCCCAAAGTGCTGGAATGACAGGCATGTGCCACCACACCTGGCCCCCCCATCAGACTCTGAACCAGCTAAACGTCCACTAATCCTGGGAGCCAGTTCCTAAAATGAATCTCTTGCTGTGTATGCATATACACATTCTGTGGCTTCTGTTTCTCTAGAGAACCTGAACTAATACACTCCCTGACCCAGCCGCTCCACTCACAGGTGTATGCCCAATAAAGCTGAAAACAGGCCAGTGATGACAGGTGGCCTCACACCTGTCATCCCAGCACTTTGGGAGGCCAAGGTGGGAGGCTGTTTTGAGCCCAGCAGTTCGAGACCAACCTGGGCAACGCAGCAAGACGCTATCCCCGCAAAAATACAAAAATTAGTTGGGCCTGGTGGCAGGTGCCTGTAATTCCAGCTACTTGAGAGGCTGAGGCAGGTGGAGTGCTTGAGCCTGGGAGGTTGAGGCTGCAGTGAGCCATGATCGTCGCTCCATGGCATTCCAGCCTGGGTGACACACCCAGACCCTGTCAGAAAAGGAAAGGAAAGGAAAGGGGGAAGGAAAGAAGGAAGGAAGGAAGGAAGGAAGGAAGGAAGGAAGGAAGGAAGGGAGGGAGGAAGGGAGGGAGGGAGGGAGGAAGGGAGGGGAAGGGAAGGGAAGGGAAAGGACTTCATATGATATGATTCAATTTCTACAAAATGTGCAGAATAGGCAAATCTATTGAGACAGAAAGCAGATGAATGGTTGCTGGGGGCCGGCAGCAGGGGCTGCTTAACGGAGACAGACCTTCTGTTTCAGCTGATAAAAAACCTCTGGAACTCGATAGAGGTGACAGTTGCACAGCATTGTAAACGTGTTAAATGACAGTAAGGGTAAATATTTTGAATATTTTACCACAATGAAACAAGTGTATGGGAAGCTTTGTAGCAGGAGTGTGGGCGGGGGCTGGTGCCTGGAGGGACATCAAATGAGACAGCAGTGTATGGGGACCATGTGGTCACTGAAGTCCTAGCAGAAGGAATTTTTTTTTTTTTTTTTTTTTTTTTGAGACGGAGTCTCGCTCTGTCACCAGGCTGGAGTGCAGCGGTGCAATCTCAGCTCACTCCAACTAAGGAAGGAGACCACTACTACTCCTGCTGCCCTCCTCCCCCGACCTTGCCTAGTTCACAAGACAGGAGGAAAGAGAGAGAGAAACAAAAGTAAGATAAATAGCCAGACAACCTTGGCACGCCACCCGGCCCTAGGAGTTAAAAAAAGTAATAATAATAACATCAACCCCTGGCCTAAACTACGTGTGTTATCTGTAAATCCCAGACACTGTATGAAAAAAAAAGCATTGTAAAACTTTTTGTTCTGTTAGCTGATGCATGTAGGCCCCAGTCACGTTTCCCACGCTTGCTCAATTTATCACGACCCTTTCACGTGGACCCCCTAAAGTTGTAAGCCTTTAAAAAGACGAAGTATTTCTTTTTCGGGGAGCTTGGCTCTTAAGACGCAAGTCTGCCATGTGCGGTGGCTCACGCCTGTAATCCCAGCACTTTGAGAGTCCGAGGCGGGTGGATCACAAGGTCAGGAGATCGAGACCATCCTGGCTAACACGGTGAAACCCCGTCTCTACTAAAAATACAAAAAAAAATTAGGCAGGCATGGTGGTGGGCGCCTGTAGTCCCAGCTACACGGGAGGCTGAGGCAGGAGAATGGTGTGAACCCGGGAAGTGGAGCTTGCAGTGAGCCGAGATCGCGCCACTGCACTCCAGCCTGGGCGACAGAGCGAGACTCCATCTCAAAGAAAAAAAAAAAAAAAAAAAGATGCGAGTCGGCTGACGTTCCGGGCCAAATAAAAAACCTCTTCCTTCTTTAATCTGGTGTCTTGAGGAGTTTTGTCTGCGGCTTGTCCTGCTACATTTCTTGGTTCCCTGACCAGGAAGCGAGGTGATTAAAGGACGGTCGAGGCAGCCCCTTAGGCAGCTTATGCCTGACCTGTAGAGCATCCCTGCGGGGGACTCTGGCCAGCTTGAGCGATGCGGATCCTGAGAGCACTCCCGGGTAGGCATTTGCCCCGGTGGAGGCATTTACCTCTTCAGAGCAGTGCACAGCAGGCCCCTGTGGAGGATCAACACAGTGGCTGAACACCGGGAAGGAACTGGCCCTTTAAGTCCGGACATCTGAAACTTGGTAAGACTGGTCTTTGGAACTCGCCCACTCCATTTGAGTGGAAGCGTGGCCTGATCACCCACAGCATGCCTGTACCGGCACTTTGGTTTTTGTTTTTGACTTGACTTAATTGCTTGATACTTTGTTTTTTGTTTTTGACTTGACTTGAATTAATTGCCTGATACTTTGGTTTTAGTTTTGATTTTGACTTGACTTGAATTGCTTGATAAACAGGCGTGCCTTTATTGGCACTTCGGTTTTGGTTCTGATTTTGACTTGGCTTAAATTGCTTGACGAACAGGTGTGCCTTTAACAACACTTGGTTTTAGCTTTTATTTTGATTTAGTGTGAATTAGATGAGTAAATGACCTTTTACCCTTTCCTTCTTGTAGTGTGAATGTTGTTTTGTCTCAAGAGAAAAATAGGTCGGACACAAAGTAAGCCCACTCGGCTAGGAACTGTGTTAAAACATTTCAAAAAGAAAAAAGGAAAGTCATCAAATCATCAAAACTTACTCTATTAAAATGCATGTTACAGAACCTTAAGAAAGGTTTGGCCGGGCGCGGTGGCTCAAGCCTGTAATCCCAGCACTCTGGGAGGCCGAGGCGGGCGGATCACGAGGTCAGGAGATCGAGACCATCCTGGCTAACACGGTGAAACCCCGTCTCTACTAAAAAAAATACAAAAAAAAACTAGCCGGGCGAGGTGGCGGGCGCCTGTAGTCCCAGCTATTCGGGAGGCTGAGGCAGGAGAATGGCGTAAACCCGGGAGGCGGAGCTTGCAGTGAGCTGAGATCCGGCCACTGCACTCCAGCCCAGGCGACAGAGCGAGACTCCGTCTCAAAAAAAAAAAAAAAAAAAAAAGAAAGGTTTTGCAGGAGATTATAGAGTTAAGTTAACCCCTTAGAGGTTAAGATCTGTGTGAATTAGAACTGCCCTCTTTTGGTGTTGGATGGCCCTTCGAAGGAACTATAGACAAGGAACAATTGGCCATGTATTTAAGGTGGTGACAGGGTCGGAGGACAGCCAGTATACCTAGATCAAGTTCCTTTATATTGACTCATGGTTAAATATAACACAGACAAAACCAGCATAAATTTAGCCCTGTTTAACAGCTTATTGCAAAAAAGCCAAAAGTAAAAGTAAGAGCAGCTTCACCAGCAGACACAGAGTTAAAAACGGAGTCCCAGAAACAGCAAGAGAAGCCAGTTTTGCAGGAGCCGCCAGAGATCATAGAAATTCTTTCTCCATATGTCCCAGCCTACTGCCCCGCTTTACCAAGGCAAACAGCCCCCTCAGAAACGAGATTCAGGAGCTAACACGCCCCAGGTCTCACCTCGAAGGGGAGGATCGGAGCCTCGAGAGGCCAAGGAAGGAAGTCAAGATAGCCAAGTGGGCCGTCTCAGATCTGGTCTTGCTCAAGCTATGCAAATGCCTCTCAGGGAGATGTGAGGACCTGTCTATTATAATGACCAGGCCCACATCCGTGGGAGCAACAGACTTTCATCTATCAGCCCCTTTCAACCATTGATCTACTAAACTGGAAACACCCTGAACCCACCACCTTGCTCCCGACAGCTAGAGCCCTGTCGACATGACTGTGTAGAGGTGTTGGACTCCAGTTTACTCCAGCAGACCTGACCTCCGGGACCAGTCTTGGGCATCAGTAGACTAGGAGCTATTCGTGGACGGGAACAGCTTCATCAACCCACAAGGAAAGAGATGTGCAGAATATGCGGTGGTAACCCTGGACACTGTCGTTAAGCTGAGCTCATTGCTTTAATTCGGGCCTTAGAACTCAGTAAAGGTAAGACTGTAAACACTGACACTGACTCTCAGTATGCCTGTTTCACCCTCCAAGTGCATGGAGAATTATATAAAGAAAAGAGCCTGTTAAACTGTAGGAAAAAGGGGGAAAAAACACCCAGAGAATGCAACTCGGCATCAGCGTTCGCAGAGGTACTGAGAAGCACTTCTGCAGAGGCTAAGAGTTGGTAGAAAAAAGCAAGTAATAAAAAAAAAATTCCAGGAATGCTTCGAGGAGCTGACAAGAGCCTAACTCAGTTTTATAAGAGACTCTATAAAGCATTCTGGCTTTACACCCCATTTAACCCTAAGGCTGCTGAAAATCAGTATATAGTGAATACTTCATTTGTAAAGCAAGCCCAGGGTAACATCAAGCAGAAGCTGCAGGCATGAATATCATCCAGTCTATAAAAGTGGCCACCAAGGTGTATGTTGACTGTGACCAAGGAACAAAACTGGGAAAGAGCAAAAGAAAAAGAAAGACTAAGAGTAAGTGTAATAAAAGAGAAAGTAGCAATGTGAGAGGACGTGGACGTGGATGTAGATATGAAAGAAGTCAAGTTAGGCAAGGATTCAAGAGCCGGACAGGCTGGAGAGAGATTAATGTGCGAGATGCAAAAAGAAAAGACACTAGAAGGGTAAATGTTCAAAAAGGCAATAAAGGAAATGGCCAAGGCGGCAAGACAAAGAGGCCATCTGCCAAGGGCTGCCGCACCTTGGAGGAACCAAATACTGATCTGATCAGACTGACAGGAGCTGAAGAATGTAAAGACTAGGGCAGACTACGCCCTTCTCATGAGGCTCCCAGGAGCCCATGGTCACATTAGAAGTTAAAAGCAGCAAGATTCTGCCGTATCTGGATTCCAATTTCTCACTGAAGGCTGAGCCACTAAATACAGTTACAAAGGGGGGGCGGGGGGAGAAGAACCCCTCCTCTAAGAAACTTAGACAGTAAAAAGAGCCATACCTTGTGAAAACTTGCTTATGGACTTTACAGAACTGCCCCGTGCTGGAGGCTATCGGTACATACTAGTGCTTGTTTGCTCATTTAAAATAAAATCAGGTTTTTGCCTATGGTCCTTCTCCAAGTCAGCTGCACCCCCACCAAACAAACTAGGTATTTGCCCTATAAGATTTTGTTCGGTCGGTCACCCTCAAATCATAGGTCAAATTAAAGGTGACCTCCAGAAACTAAAGAAATTAACCTTAAGAAAGCAAATGCAGGTTTTTCGTTTTTTTTTTGTTGTTTGTTTGTTTTTTTTTTTTTTGAGACGGAGTCTCGCTCTGTCGCCCAGGCTGGAGTGCAGTGGCCGGATCTCAGCTCACTGCAAGCTCCGCCTCCCGGGTTCGGGCCATTCTCCTGTCTCAGCCTCCTGAGTAGCTGGGACTACAGGCGCCCGCCACCTCGCCCGGCTAGTTTTTTGTATTTTTTAGTAGAGACGGGGTTTCACCGTGTTAGCCAGGATGGTCTCGATCTCCTGACCTAGTGATCCGCCCGTCTCGGCCTCCCAAAGTGCTGGGATTACAGGCTTGAGCCACCGCGCCCGGCCTTCGGTTTGTTTTTGTTTTCTGAGACAGAGTCTCACTCTGTCGCCTAGGCTGGAGTGCAGTGGGGCAATCTTGGCTCACTGCAACCTCTGCCACCAAGGTTCAAAGCAATTTTCCTGCCTCAGCCTCCTGAGTAGCTGGGATTACAGGCGCCTGCCACCACACCCAGCTAATTTTTGTAGTTTTAGTAGAGACGGAGTTTCACCATGTTGGCCAGGCTAGTCTTGAACTCCTGACCTAGAGATCCACCCGCCTTGGCCTCCCGAAGTGCTGGGATTACAGGCTTGAGCCACCGCGCCCGGCCTAGAGACGGGGTTTCACCGGGTTAGCCAGGATGGTCTCGATCTCCTGACCTCGTGATCCGCCCGTCTCGGCCTCCCAAAGTGCTGGGATTACAGGCTTGAGCCACCGCGCCCGGCCAAAATCTAATTTTTCTAGGACCCATATAGGATGGGACCTATACTGTAACCTTGTCCACTCCCACTGCTGTTAACCTTGCAGGTGTTGTGTCTTGGATCCACCACAGTCAGTTAACACCGGCAGCTCAGGACAAGTGCACCAGCCAGCAGGATGCAGATCATCCAACCCGGTTGATCCTGAGACGAGACCAAGCTGCTGCTGAGGATGATAGCCCTGTTCTGGTCACTCCGGAGGCTGACCAGTCTACATACGGCTGCGGCTTGAGGAGACAACAAGCCCTGCTCTAGTCACACACCAGCAGCTGACTAGTCTATGCACGACCGAAGCTTGAGGACTCATCAAACAAGTAAATGTAGTTAAAAATCTTAATAGTTTTCCTGCAATACTGCTTTCCTATTGTTCTGTCACTGTATTCAACCTTTTTCCCAGGTAAGGACCTCTTTTGTCCTTGCTGGATATGAATATGCTGTACATGGTTTTGTTGTTGTTACCCCCCATAACCATGCTAGAAGAAACACCTAGATGAGGTGTCCCCACTGTACACATACCACTTAGGAAACCCAGACCTGTTCAGCCCAGCACAATTCCGAGTCTTGCAGTCATTCTTTAAACATACAAACCAGAAGTTACCAGAACCTCCTCCTTTAGCAAAACCAGAAAAAACCTATTTGCTCAGTTGGCTGAAAACATTGCTGGCAGCCTAGATGTTTCTTCACGTTATGTTTATAAAAAGGCTAACATAAGAGACCGGCCGGGTGCGGTGGCTCACGCCTGTAATCCCAGTGCTTTGGGAGGCCGAGGTGGGCGGATCACAAGGTCAGGAGTTTGAAACCAGCCTGGCTAACATGGCGAAACCCCATCTCTACTAGAAGTAGAAAATATTAGCTGGGCGTGGTGGCAGGTGCCTGTAATCCCAGCTACTCAGGAGGCTGAGGCAGGAGAATCACCTGAACCTGGGAGATGGACTTTGCAGTGAGCCGAGACCATACCACTGCACTGCAGCCTGGGCAACAGAGTGAGACTCCATCTCAAAAAAAAAAAAAAATTTAAAAAGTAAGAGACCAATGGCCTTGAGAAGCAAAAGAGTGAATGCCTCAAGGTAACTTTACTTTAACTCTTTCCCCAAACAGATGCTCCAAGTTCAAGCATCTGGCTCTGAAAAACTTGTTATTAAAAAATACTGTTACTCGCTAAGAAAAAGCTTTTAAGACCCAGTGACAAAACTAACCTGCTTAGAACATGACAAAGTTGATACATGTCCCTGTACAGGTTTAACACAGGTTTGATCCTAGGTCTTCGCTTACAAAATAGTTTCCAGCTATAAAAATTTAAAACCCTCATTGTAAGTATATTACTGGTAATAGAAAGTTGCTTGCTGCTCCCCTGTGTATTACACTTGTTCCTTCAAATAAAAGGTTTTGTAGCTACCATGGTTCATCAGAAAACTTCAGCACAAGTGTATTACATAAAACACTATTGGCCGGGCGCGGTGGCTCAAGCCTGTAATCCCAGCACTTTGGGAGGCCAAGACGGGCGGATCACGAGGTCAGCAGATCGAGACCATCCTGGCTAACACGGTGAAACCCCGTCTCTACTAAAAAATACAAAAAACTAGCCGGGTGAGGTGGCGGGCGCCTGTAGTCCCAGCTACTCGGGAGGCTGAGGCAGGAGAATGGCGTGAACCTGGGAGGCGGAGCTTGCAGTGAACTGAGATCCGGCCACTGCACTCCAGCCTGGGCGACATAGCGAGACTCTGTCTCAAAAAAACAAAAAACAAAACAAAAAAAAAAACAAAAACTATCGCTCTGTCTCGCAAAGAGACTCAGAAAGTAAAAATAAAAGTGAGAACTCCCACTAATTAGTGAAAATGCTCAAAGCGGGGGATAAGGAAGGAGACCACTACTACTCCTGCTGCCCTCCTCCCCCCACCTTGCCTAGTTCACAAGACAGGAGGAAAGAGAGAAAGAAACAAAAGTAAGATAAATAGCCAGACAACTTTGGCACCACCACCCGGCCCTAGGAGTTAAAAAAAAAAAAGTAATAATAATAACATCAACCCCTGGCCTAAACTACTTGTGTTATCTGTAAATCCTAGACACTGTATGAAAAAAAAAAGCATTGTAAAACTTTTTGTTCTGTTAGCTGATGCACGTAGCCCCCAGTCACGTTTCCCACACTTGCTCGATTTATCACGACCCTTTCACGTGGACCCCTTAAAGTCGTAAGCCTTTAAAAAGGCCAAGTATTTCTTTTTCGGGGAGCTTGGCTCTTAAGACGCGAGTCTGCTGACGCTCCCAGCTGTATAAAAAACCTCTTCCTTCTTTAATCCGGTGTCTGAGGAGTTTTGTCTGTGGCTCATCCTGCTACACAACCTCCACCTCCTGGGTTCAAGCAATTCTCCTGACTCAGCCTCCAGAGCAGCTGGGACTACAGGTGCTCCACCACACCCAGTTAATTTTTTTTTTTTTTTTTTTGAGAGGGAGTCTCGCTCCCAGGCTGGAGTGCGGTGGTGGCACGATCTCCGCTCACTGCAAGCTCCACCGCCTGAGTTCACCCCATTCTTCTGCTTCAGCCTCCTGAGTAGCTGGGACTATAGGCGCCCGCCACCACGACGGGCTAATTTTTTGTATTTTTAGTAGAGATGGGGTTTCACGGTGTTAGCCAGGATGGTGTCGATCATCCTGACCTCGTGATCCGCCCGCCTTGGCCTCCCAAAGTGCTGGGATTACAGGCGTTAGCCACCGCGCCCGGTCTAATATTTGTATTATTAGTAGAGACGGGGGTGTCACCGTGTTAGCCAGTCTGGTCTCGAACTCCTGACCTCGTGATCCGCCCGCCTCTGCCTCCCAGCGTCCTGGGATTACAGGCGTGACTCACTGCGCCCGGCCAGCAGAAGGATATTAAAGAGCACCTGCAGGACCTTTCTAACGGGATGTCGGGGGAAGGGCTTGAAGGAGGAACTAGGGAGGCTTCCATAAGATTTTGATTAACAGCCAGCGCTAGGGAAGGTCACAGGGATACAAAAGGGTAGGAGGAGGATCCAGAGACCTCCAAGTTGTGGACTTCGAAGGCATCCGGTTCCTTTCCCAGCTTTGTCAAGAATTCCCTGGGCGGCGGACACCCTCAAAATAAAAAAAACGGGAACCACAGGGAAGGGGAAAAAGAAGAACCACAAGCGTTTTGAGAAACAAACAGAGGCTGGGCCTAGGGCCTGGGGTGTGCCCTGCAACTGGGGGGGGTGGGGCTGGATGTTCTTGGAGTCAGGGAGCAGCAGCCTCCCACAGGATGTGAGAGAGGAACTGGGGTCTCCAGTCACGGGAGCCAGGAGCCGGCCAGGGCCGCAGGCAGGAAGGGAGCGAGGCTGAAGGGAACGTGAGCCGACCAGGCCCCGATTGAGGGAGGAGGGAAGGGCCTGGACCCCTGGGCCTGAGGGAGGAGGGGCTGGGGGTCTGGACAGTGCGTCTGAGGGAGGAGGGGCTGGGGGTCTCGACACTGGTTCTGAGGGAGGAGGGGCTGGGGGCCTGGACGCCTGGGACGGAGGGAGGAGGCACTGGGGGTCTGGACACTGGGTCCGAGGGAGGAGGGGTTGGGGGCCCGGACTCCTCGGTCGGAGGGTGGAGGGGCTGGTGGCCCGGACTCCTGGGTCCGAGGGAGGAAGGGTTGGGGGCCCGGACTCCTCGGTCGGAGGGTGGAGGGGCAGGCGGCCCGGACTCCTCGGTCGGAGGGTGGAGGGGCTGGGGGCCCGGACTCCTCGGTCGGAGGGTGGAGGGGGCTGGGGGCCCGGACTCCTCGTCGGAGGGTGGAGGGGTTGGGGGCCCGGACTTCTCGGTCGGAGGGTGGAGGGGTTGGGGGCCCGGACTCCTCGGTCGGAGGGTGGAGGGGCTGGTGGCCCGGACTCCTGGGTCCGAGGGAGGAAGGGTTGGGGGCCCGGACTCCTCGGTCGGAGGGTGGAGGGGCTGGGGGCCCGGACTCCTCGGTCGGAGGGTGGAGGGGTTGGGGGCCCGGACTCCTGGGTCCGAGGGAGGAGGGGCTGGGGCCTGAGGGGGACGGAAGGGGCGTGGCCGAGCTCGGGGCCGGGACTCTCAGCCTATCAAGTTTCTGTAATTAATTAACTGAGATCCAGTTCAGGGGTGAAAGTTCTTCAGGTAGGAGGAGGGCATTGTTGTCAGTCTGGACCGAGCCCGCAGAGCCCCTCCTCGGCGTCCTGGTCCCGGCCCTGCCCTTGGTACCCCGGGAGGAAGGGGCGGGCCGGGGGTCGGGAGGAGTCACGTGCCCCCTCCCGCCCCAGGTCGTCCTCTCAGCATGAGGGTCCCGCGGCCTCAGCCCTGGGCGCTGGGGCTCCTGCTCTTTCTCCTGCCCGGGAGCCTGGGCGCAGGTGAGGGCCGCTGCGGGCCGGGGCCCTGCTGCAGGCGGGCGGTGGGAGGCGGCCCCAGGCAGGCAGGGGCGAAGCCAGCGGGACCCGAGTTCCCCGCGAGTCCCGGGCGCTGCCTTCTCCGCTCAGTTCACTTTCTCAGCGTCTCCTGCTGGGCCTGAGGCTGAGAACCACCTGTCGCTTCTGTGTCTCTGTTTCCCTCTCTCTCTCTCTGGGCCTCTGTCTGGGTGTCTGTCCCTTTCTCTCTCTCTCTCTCTGGGTCTCTGTTTCTCTCCCTGGGTCTCTGTCCCTGTCTTTCTGTCTCTCTGGGTCTCTGTCCCTCTCTCTTTGTCTGGGCCTCTGTCTCTGGGTCTCTGTCTCTGGGTCTCTGTCTCTCTCTCTCTGGGTCTCTGTCTCTGTCTCCCTCTCTCTCTCTGGGTCTCTGTCTCTCTCTCTGGGTCTCTGTCTCTGTCTCCCTCTCTCTCTCTGGGTCTCTGTCTCCTCCCTCTGAATCTTCCCTCTCCATAATAGATTCTTCTCCCTCCCTGGATATCTGTCCCACTGCAATCTAGTTCCCCGCCCATGTTCTCCCTTCAGCTCTGTCTCTGTCTGCAGAAAGCCACCTCTCCCTCCTGTACCACCTCACCGCGGTGTCCTCGCCTGCCCCGGGGACGCCTGCCTTCTGGGTGTCCGGCTGGCTGGGCCCGCAGCAGTACCTGAGCTACGACAGCCTGAGGGGCCAGGCGGAGCCCTGTGGAGCTTGGGTCTGGGAAAACCAAGTGTCCTGGTATTGGGAGAAAGAGACCACAGATCTGAGGATCAAGGAGAAGCTCTTTCTGGAAGCTTTCAAAGCTTTGGGGGGAAAAGGTGAGATTCAAATCCGGAGGGGCAAGGGGCTGGGTCCATGCTCCTGGGCCCCACTTACATGTGTGGGCGCCCCAGGCCCCTACACTCTGCAGGGCCTGCTGGGCTGTGAACTGAGCCCTGACAACACCTCGGTGCCCACCGCCAAGTTCGCCCTGAACGGCGAGGAGTTCATGAATTTCGACCTCAAGCAGGGCACCTGGGGTGGGGACTGGCCCGAGGCCCTGGCTATCAGTCAGCGGTGGCAGCAGCAGGACAAGGCGGCCAACAAGGAGCTCACCTTCCTGCTATTCTCCTGCCCACACCGGCTGCGGGAGCACCTGGAGAGGGGCCGTGGAAACCTGGAGTGGAAGGGTGAGTCGGATCTGCAGCCACAGGCTGTTCTGTCCTCTCTGCCATCACGCCCACCTGCCTCAGTTCCCCTGTCAGGACCCTCAGTCAGCCTCCCACTGCAGCCCACGCTCTGCCCCCATTCCTCAGGGGTTCTTCTACATTCAGCCCTCCCATGGCTCCCCAGCGCCCCCCAAGACAAACTCTTGGCTTCCTTGCCTTTTTTTGTTGAGACGAAGTTTCACTCTTGTTGCCCAGGCTGGAGTGCAATGGTGTGATCTCGGCTCACTGTAACCTCCGCCTCCCGGGTTCAAGTGATTCTCCTGCCTCAGCCTCCCTAGTAACTGGATTACAGGCATGCGTCACCATGCCTGGCTAATTTTGTATTTTTAGTAGAGACGGGGTTTCTTCATGCTGGTCAGGCTGGTCTCAAATTCCCAACCGCAGGTGATCCGCCCGTCTCAGCCTCCCAAAGTGCTGGGATTACAAGCGTGAGCCATCGCACCTGGCTGTCTTTTTTTTTTTTTTTTTTTTTTGAGACAGATTCTCTGTCACCCCAGGCTGGAGTGTGGTGGCACAATCTCGGCCCACTGCAGCCTGAACCTCCCAGGCTCAAGCAATCCTCCCACGTCAGCCTCCCAAGTAGCTGCGACCACAGCATCGTCACACCTGGCTGACTTTAATTTTTGTAGACACAGTGTCTCACTACGTTGCCCAGGCTGGTCTTGAACTCCTAGGCTCAAGCAGTCTTACTGCTTTGGCCTCCTGAATAGCTGAGATTACAGGTGCATACCACCATAACTGGCTAATTTTTTTTTTAGTTTTCCGCACAGTCTGCCTCCCAGGCTAGTGTGCAGCAGCGTGATCTCAGCTCGCTGCACACTCTGCCTCCTGGGTTTAAGCGATTCTCCTGCTGCAGCCTCATGAGTAGCTGGCACTACAGGCACATCCACCATCTCTGGCTAATTTTTGTAGTTTTAGTAGAGACGGTTTCGTCATGTTAGCTAGGCTGGTCTCAAACTCTTGACCTCAAGTGATCCACTCACCTCAGCCTCCCAAAGTGATGGGATTACAGGCGTGAGCCACCGCATTTGACCATAACTGGCTAATTTTTAAAATTTGTTGTAGAGATGGCATCTCGCTGTGCTGCCCAGGCCAGACTCAAACTCCTGGCCTCAAGTGATTCTCCCACTTTGGCCTCTCAGGGTGCTGGGATGACAGGTGTGAACCACTGTGCTTGGCCTTCCTTGCCTTAATGCCCTCGTCAGACCCACGCAGCAGCACTTGTCTCTACACAGCTGTCAGAGTCTAGGCTCCAGCCACCCAACATGAGCAATCTTCTCCCTCTGAGCATTTGTTCATCCAGTTCCCCCGGCCCCTCTCTGTTCCACCCTTCCCCCTCTCTGCATATACTCCAGCCCTCCTTATTCTTCAAGGTCGGGGTTGGATATCACTTCCTCTGAGAAGCCTTCTCTCAGCTCTGTAGGGCAGAGTTCACTGTTTCCTCCCCAGCGGCCCCAGATCCCCATTCATTCAACTGTTGGCCAAGAGCATTTGCACTGCCAGACGCCGCTCTGGGACGCCGCTCTGGGCCTTGAGCAAAGAGGGAAGTGACACACGTTCACCCTCTGTGGCTTCCAGGCTGCTGGACAAAGATAGATATCGGCTGGGGATTTGCACAGATGTTCATTCCAAGTGCCACAAAGGAGAAGTTGAGACTTAACCAGGTAGTTTTTCTTTGATCGTCTTCTTTCTTTTTTAAGTAGGGAAAATTTCCTTTTTTTTTGAGATGAAGTCTCGCTCTTGTCGCCCAGGCTGGAGTGCAATGGCGCAATCTCGGCTCACTGCAACCTCCGCTCCCAGCTTCAAGTGATTTCTGCCTCAGCCTCCCGAGTTGCTGGGACTACAGGCACGTACCACCATACCTGGCTAATTTTTGTATTTTTTTTAGTAGAGACAGGGTTTCACCATGTTGGCCGGGATGGTCTTGATCTCTTGACCTTGTCATCCGCCTGCCTCGGCTTCCCAAAGTGCTGGGATTACAGACATGAGCCACTGTGCCCGGCCTTTTTTTTTTTTTTTTGAGACAGACTTTTGCATTGTTGCCCAGGCTGCAGTGCAGTGGCACAGTCTTGGCTCACTGCAACCTCCACCTCCCAGGGTCAAGCAATTCTCCTACCTCAGCCTCCCGAGTAGCTGGGAATACGGGCACGCACCACCCTGCCTGGCTAACTTTTGTATTTTAGTAGAGACGGGTTTCACCATGCTGGCCAGGCTGGTCTCGAACACCTGATCTCGTGATCCGCCCACCTTGGCCTCCCAAAGTGCTGGGATTATAGGCGTGAGCCACCACACCTGGCCTAAGTAGGGAAAGTTTCAAACCACACTTAAGTAGACACAATAGTATAAAAAGGACCAGGCATGGTGGCTCATGCCTGTAATCACAGCATTTTGGGAGGCCAAGGCAGGTGGATTGCTTCATCCCAGGAGTTCAAGACCAGCCTGGGCAACATAGCAAGACCTCATCTCTACTAAAAACTCAAAAAATTAGCCTGGCATGGTGGTATGTGCCTCTAGTCCCAGCCACTGGGAGGCTATGGTGGGAGGATCACTTGAGCTCAGGAGTTTGAGGCAGTAGTGAACTGTGATTGCAATCCTGCACTCCAGCCCAGACTACAGAGCCAGACCCTGTCTCAAAAAGAAAAAAATATGATGGCCAGACGCGGTGGCTCATGCCTGAATTCCAACACTTTGGGAGGCTGAGGTGGGCAGATCACTTAACAGGAGTTTGAGATAAGCCTGGCCGACATAGTGAAACCCCATCTCTACTAAAAATACAAAATTAGCCAGGTGCGGTGGTGGGCGCTTGTAATCCCAGCTACCCTCCACTTCAAGTGATCCACCCTCCTTGCCTCCCAAAGTGCAAGAGTCACGGTGCCCGGCCAGAGTGTTTTGTTGATAAGTACTTTAGTATGTAACTCTACTAGGTAAGGGCATGTAAAAAAAATTAATACCAAAACCATTATCACACCTACGATCAATTAACTGTAACTCCTTAATGGCATCAGATGTCTAGTTTTTGTTCACATTTTCCTGACTGTAAATTTTTTTTTTTTTTTTTTTTGAGACAGTCTCTTTCTCTGTCACCCAGGCTGGAGTGCAGTGGCCGGATCTCAGCTCACTGCAAGCTCCGCCTCCCAGGTTTACGCCATTCTCCTGCCTCAGCCTCCTGAGTAGCTGAGACTACAGGCGCCTGTCACCTTGCCCGGCTAGTTTTTTGTATTTTTAGTAGAGACGGGGTTTCACCGTGTTAGCCAGGATGGTCTCGATCTCCTGACCTCGTGATCTCCCCGTCTCGGCCTCCCAAAGTGCTGGGATTACAGGCGTGAGCCACGGCGCCCGGCCTGTAAATGTTTTTTAAAGTTTGAATCAGCATCCAGCAAGGTCCACACATTTTGTTGTCTTTTCAGTGTCTTTTTCTGATTGTTGAATTTTTCTTTCTTTCTTTTTTTTTTTTTTTTTTTGAGACGGAGTCTCGCTCTGTTGCCCAGGCTGGAGTGCAGTGGCGCAATCTCGGCTCACTACAAGCTCCGCCTCCTGGGTTCACGCCATTCTCCGGCCTCAGCCTCCCGAGTAGCTGGGACTACAGGCGCCCGCCACTGCGCCCGGCTAATTTTTTCTATTTTTAGTAGAGACGGGGTTTCACCATGGTCTTGATCTCCTGACCTTGTGATCCGCCCGCCTCGGCCTTCCAAAGTGCTGGGATTACAGGCGTGAGCCACCGCGCCCGGCCTTCTTTTTTTTTTTAAATTGAGACAGGGTCTTGCTCTGTTGCCAGACTGGAGTCCAGTGGTGCAATCATAGCTCACTGCAGCCGGAACCTCCTGAGCTCAAGTAATTCTCCCACTTGAGCCTCACCGGTAGCTAGGACCACAGGTGTACGCCATCAGGCCTAGCTATTTTTTTGTTTGTTTGTTTTTTGAGACGAAGTCTTACTCTGTCGCCCAGACTGGAGTGCAGAGGCACGATCTCGGCTCATTGCAACTTCTGCCTCCCGGGTCCAAGCAATTCTCCTGCCTCAGCCTCCCAAGTAGCTGGGATTACAGGCGCACACCACCATGCCTGGCTATTTTTTGTATCTTTAATAGAGACAGAGTTTCACCATGTTGGCCAGGCAGGTTTTGAACTCCCGACCCCAGGTGATCCACCTCCCTCGGCCTCCCAAAGTGTTGGGATTACAGGCATGAGCCACCGCGCTCAGCCGTATTTTTTTTCTTTTTTTTTTTTTGGAGACGGAGTCTCACTCTCTCGCCCAGGCTGGAGTGCAGGGGTGCCATCTCAGCTCACTGCAACCTCCACCTCCCGGGTTCAAGCGATTCTCCTGCCTCAGCCTCCTGAGTAGCTGGGATTACAGGCGCCTGCCACCACGCCTGGCTAATTTTTGTATTTTAGTAGAGATGGGGTTTCACGTGTTAGCCAGGATGGTCTCGATCTCTTGACTCGTGATCTGCCCTCCTCGGCCTCCCAAAGTGCTGGAATTACAGGCATGAGCACTGTGCCTGGCCATAATTTTGTATTTTTAGTAGAGACAAGGTTTCACCATGTTGGCCAGGCTGGTCTTGAACTCCTGACCTCATGATCCGCCTACCTCGGCCTCCCAAAGTGCTGGGATTACAGGCGTGAGCTACTGTGCCCGGCTGGATTCCAATTTTTTATCAGATAGGTGTTTTGCAAATATTCCTTACACTCTCTAAGTTGTCTTTTCATTGTTTTAACTGTGCCTTTCAGAAAGAAAAAGTTTTAACTTCGATAAAATAGTTTATTCTTTTTTTTTTTTAATCATGGGTTATGCTTTTGGTGTCTTATCTCAGAAGTAAGCACTAAACCCAAAATCAGCTAGATCTTCTCCTGTGTATTTTAAGAGTTTTAAAGTTTTGCATTTTATAGTTAGGTCTGTGATTCATTTTGAGGTAATTTGAGTTACTTGTGATCTTGAGTGTCTTTTGATTTACAGGTTTCCCATT